CTGTTAACAATTATAGTATCGTGTATTCCACTGTTAACAATGATAGAATCGTGTATTCCACTGTTCACAATGATAGTATCGTGTATTCTACTGTTCACAATTATAGTATCGTGTATTCCACTGTTAACAATGATAGTATCTTGTATTCCACTGTTCGCAATGATAGTATCGTGTATTCCACTGTTCGGAATGAAAGTATCGTGTATTCCACTGTTAACAATGATAGTATCTTGTATTCCACTGTTCGCAATGATAGTATCGTGTATTCCACTGTTCGGAATGAAAGTATCGTGTATTCCACTGTTAACAATGATAGTATCGGGTATTCCACTGTTCGCAATGAAAGTATCGTGTATTCCACTGTTAACAATGATAGTATCGTGTATTCCACTGTTCGCAATGATAGTATCGTGTATTCCACTGTTCGCAATGAAAGTATCGTGTATTCCACTGTTAACAATGATAGTATCGTGTATTCTACTGTTAACAATGATAGTATCGTGTATTCCACCGTTAACAATGATAGTATCGTGTATTCTACTGTTAACAATGTTAGTATCGTGTATTCCACCGTTAATAATGATATTATCGTGTATTCCACTGTTAACAATGTTAGTATCGTGTATTCCACTTTTCACAATGATAGTATCGTGTATTCCACTGTTAACAATTATAGTATCGTGTATTCCACTGTTAACAATGATAGTATCGTGTATTCCACTGTTAACAATGATAGAATCGTGTATTCCACTGTTCACAATGATAGTATCGTGTATTCCACTGTTAACAATTATAGTATCGTATATTCCACTGTTAACATTGATAGTATCGTGTATTCCACCGTTAACAATGATAGTATCGTGTATTCCACTGTTAACAATTATAGTATCGTCTATTCCACTGTTAACATTGATAGTATCGTGTATTCCACTGTTAATAATGATAGTATCGACTGTTAATAATGATATTTTCGTGTATTCCACTGTTCACAATGATAGTATTGTGTATTCTACTGCTCACAATGAAAGCATATTGTAATCCACTGTTAACAATTATAGTATCGTGAATTCCACTGTTAATAATGATAGTATCGTGTATTCTACTGTTCACAATTATAGTATCGTGTATTCCACTGTTAACAATTATAGTATCGTGTATTCTACTGTTAACATTGATAGTGTCGTGTATTCCACCGTTAACAATGATAGTATCGTGTATTCCACCGTTAACAATGATAGTATCAATGTTAACAGTAGAATACACGATACTATCATTGTTAACAGTGGAATACAAGATACTATCATTGTGAACAGTGGAATACACGAAAATATCATTATTAACAGTGGAATTCACGATACTATAATTGTTAACATTGATAGTGTCGGGTATTCCACCGTTAACAATGATAGAATGATAGTATCGTGTATTCCACTGTTTACAATGATAGTATCGTGTATTTCACTGTTAATAATGATAGTATCGTGTATTCCACTGTTAACAATGATAGTGTCGTGTATTCCACTTTTAACAATGATAGTATCGTGTATTCCACTGTTAATAATGATAGTATCGTGTATTTTACTGTTAACAATGAAAGTATCGTGTAATCCACTGTTAACAATGATAGTATCGTGTATTCCACTGTTAATAATGAAAGTATCGTGTATTCCACTCTTAACAATGTTAGTATTGTGTATTCTACTGTTAACAATGAAAGTATCGTGTAATCCACTGTTTACAATGATAGTATCGTGTATTCCACTGTTAACAATGATAGTATCGTGTTTTCCACTGTTAACAATGATAGTATAGTGTATTCCACTGTTAACAATGATAGTATCGTGTATTCCACTGTTAACAATGATAGTATCGTGTATTCCACTGTTAACAATGATAGTATCGTGTATTCTACTGTTAACAATGATAGTATCGTGTATTCCACTGTTTATAATGATAGTATCGTGTATTCCACCGTTAACAATTACAGTATCGTGTATTCCACTGTTCACAATGATAGTATCGTGTATTCCACCGTTAACAATGATAGTATCGTGTATTCCACTGTTCGCAATGAAAGTATCGTGTATTCCACTGTTAATAATGATAGTATCGTGTATTCTACTGTTAACAATGAAAGTATCGTGTAATCCACTGTTAACAATTATAGTATCGTGTATTCCACTGTTAACATTGATAGTATCGTGTATTCCACCGTTAACAACGTAATCTTAATTACAGTAAAACACTGTGATGACTTGCGTGTATTCTAACCAGCTTGTATTCTAACCATCTGCAATAAAATACAATCACACTGATGGTATATTTGCTTTTTCTAACCATACACTTTTTATTTTCATTCACATAATGCAGGTTTCAAATCAGTGATGCTATGGAAAATAAAATGTATTTACATTGGTTATATGTAACTAATTCGATCATTACATTGCCGCCTACGAATGACATACATTTCATTTATTGTTACAAAATATACGTTCTACTTAAAGTCAACAAATTATAAACAATGATATTGTTCCAATTGTGATAACTCTGGTTAAACTCGTTCATCGATAGGTACATGTACAATATTAATAGATGTGTATCGATACGTACAATAGATGTGTATCGATACGTACAATAGATGTGTATCGATACGTACAATAGATGTATATCGATACATACCATAGATGTGTATCGATTCGTACAATAGATGTGTATCGATACGTACAATAGAGGTGTATCGATTCGTACAATAGATGTGTATCGATACGTACAATAGATGTGTATCGATACGTACAATAGATGTGTATCGATACGTACAATACATGTAGATGTGTTTTCGTGCTGTGTTCCATGGATTGAGCAGTTATCGATGTTATTGATGTAGGGCTTGTCAACTTAATTCATCAAGTCATATATAACGTTAAAAAGATATACATAAACAATTTTAAATGAATATATAAAGAATTAAAATATACATATAACCATAGCTAATTTGACTTTATAATTTATCTAAAAAATAAATCAATGCAATCATATAAAATAAAACGTCTCCTCATAAATTGTAAAACATATTACACAAGAAATCACATGTCAAAAGATTGATAGTTTATGGAAATCTCATAATAGATTCAATTGTTATAGTTTTAGAAACACGTTTTAGTCAGTATTCTTCGTGATAAATCAAAAGAAAATGAAATTCAATGAAGTGAAATAATATCTTTTTTTCAAAATTAAAAACAAAAAATGTATTTTTTTCTTAATTTCACATAAACTGACAAAGTTATGGTTTTTTAATATTCAGTGTTGTGACAGTAATTTTAAAAATCGCCCGAAACAATATTCTGATAGAATAAATTGATAAGACAAAAATAATTTCAATTTTAAGACATATATACATTTTATGTAAATTATTTTATAGTGCAATATATATTTTTAAACTCTTTTAGTAAGAGTTTTTGTCTTTATTCTCGTTTAGAGTCATAATATGAAGTAAGCGTTAAAAATATTTTTTAATTGATTTATGAGTAAGCTTAAAGTGCTTTCCGATTTTAAAATCCACTTGTGACAGTTTCTGTGTTTATTGTCCGAGGTAAGAGACTGAGTAAATACAATACCTAACGCCGTAGCACCTGTAGAACAGGTAAGCGGTATAGTGTGGCTACCTCATTACCTGTGCCTATTATACACCTACATAAATGAAATGGGAGCGCATTGTCCAGTAGAGTGATACAAGTACCTATTAGATAATATACAATACGTTCACAAAAGTTCAAGAGACACATTTCCACTCTATTACCAATGTTGTGATGTTGTGAAAAACATCGCGCTTTACAAACCAGCACATTGGCTATCTAGATCGAATTTCATCACACAAAAATAAATCCACTTGAATTGTATTTTTTTTCATTGAGTATTCGCCAAGGTGTGAAAGAGTTCATATTATACAAATATAGAAACGTGAATAAGTGCAAAAGTACACAACGGATTAGGTCGACTATGCACTTTATTAAAGACGAAAATCCCACACGTCCCCCTACAATTCTTTTTGAATCACCAGGAAATATATAGTTATTTAGAAATACATGTATTAACGCAATATACACGATACAAATAAGTAATGTTTTATGAATAGGTGCCGCTATTTATATTTTGTAAAACCGCTTTGGTTATTGGAAAAAAATGGCCATGCGTTGAAACATCTTAATGCACGCCATAGCCGTCACTAAATAATGCATAATACATCATTTAAACATGTGTTTCCTTTGAAAAAAACAACTTCGCCTGAGACACATTGATTAACACATTTGAAAGGTGCACAGGAACCGATGACACATTTGAAATGTACACATAAACTGATGACACATTTGAAAGGATGACACATTTGAAAGGATGACATATTTGATTAAGTGCACACGATCTGATGACATATTTGTAAAGCTTACAGAAATAGATGCCACCTTTGAAACGTACAAAGGACACAGGAAATGATGTGTCAATTAAAGACGAAACAATGAAAAGGTATGTCTGTTCGAGATTTACGTACCTACACCAAATTTTACTGACGAACCCGCAAGTAAGACAGAGTCTGGAAAACTAGAGTAGAAGACCTAAAGCTTTGATTAAAAACAAAAGCACCTTTGATTGTTTTTCTATCTACCTACCTACTATGTATTCTTCTATACCTGTTATATGGTAATACTGGACAATATTAGAATAACAGCAACAAGGAAGTCATGAGAGCTAAGAACAGTGTCAATTTTCAACAGTGTTTACTCCATAGAAAAAGGAGGTTCCTACAGTATTTTAAAATAAAAAAGACTACGAAAAATAAGGACTAAGCGGCGTTGAAGGGGTTCATGGCCACACGGCTTCCTCTTGGATTATATATGCATTAATTATTGATTAGAACGCTCGTCAGTAGGATGGTTTAATCACAGTGACATCGATAAAACGTTTGTCGAAATTAAAAAAACACTGAGTTAAATCATGTAAGATCTTACCTCATCATTGGTGCTTAAATTTGAATATCCGTCAATATCGTCTCCAAGGTCAAGAAAGTCCTGGAAACTGGACATTTCCACAGGTATTGTTTGTATCAAAACTAATACACAAAGTAGGAACAAACGTAAGTCTTCCATCTTCTCCTTTATTCCAACGATTTCAAAGAATGCGAAAAGGCACGAGTAAAATCCGAAACAGGTGTTATACCAAACCCTACACAACGGTTTCCTCTTCAAACCTCACAAAGCCACTATTTGCTGTAAAAGCATCATCGTCGACACAATGGACAACTTTTCGTGTAAATATAATACTAACTTACACATTTGTATCATCTTCAATGCATTTAGTGTAACTTTTGAATAGTTCTTTCACTAAAAGTATAAATTTGCAAAAACTCCATACAAGGCAGCTATCATTTTTTTGCTGTAAAACCCATTATAAACTTTCAAGTTGTTTTTTAAATTATTATAATGATTTGGTATTTTTTCCACACAATGTATAAAAAACTATAAAGTTAAACCAAGTATTCCCGTGTATATTCACGTGCTAGTTTTCAGTAACAGAACTCAGGCAAGCGATAGTGTGTTTACAGGTAGAATGAGTATAAAATGAACCCAAGCCTGTATGTATATACCTTGCGTTAAAGTTAGCAAGTGCAGGTATCGCTATGTACACGTTAAATCATACTGTTGGCCAATGGCTGGTGTGTTGGGCTGAAGCACACAAACGCTGTGGAGCGAGAGTAGCAATGAACATACAAACAGCGAGCTATAGCGTATAGCTGTGTAACTCGTGGCCTAGTGCTGCTCTCTCTCATAAGTCAGATGGTTTAAATCATCTGCTGCCATTATCTGGCAACCGGTGATCAATCGTCACATTAACAATAATACAGGTGCGACATGCCACATTGACATTGTATATCTGTAATTCGGCATGATCAATTTCTATTTCAATAATTGCATTTAAATAATTTCAATATTAAGACGGGTTTTTTACTCCACAGGTGTGATGTGTTGCCATTAATACAAACACTATATATATAGGACAACTTAATACCAGCGGATTTTCTTTTGGAATACATTGTAACACATCTAAACAAAATACTGATAACTCTCAGAATATCTTTATATAACTACCTCTCATCAGTTGAAATTTGTATATTTATACTATAATACTATTAAAATGTGCAAGTAAGCATCGGAAATGCGTTTGGTGATATATACGATAATGTCGTTATAACGTTACATGTATGGCTGTTAAAATAAAACAAAAACGACAGCAAAAAAGCGATGAGGATTCAAAGCTAAACGAAACATGTCATGATCCAAATAATAAAGGAATCGTGCAAGCTTTATATTCTTTGAATGTAAGCGTTTCTTAAATAAGCTGGGCACCTGTCATGGATATCTTCTGTCAGTTCCAATAGAGTATGTAAGTCACCAACGATGCAGGACTTACGTCGAACATGTCTAAAATCATTAACTTTTTCACCCCTGAAATTGCACATGAACTATTCCAACCTTTGAATTGGTAGAGTTCAAATGAGTCTTTAGGGGTGAATAAGTTAAAGGCACAACTGAAACATTATTTATAAAATAATAGGTCATGATAACGACACTTAACTTTGTCATATACACAATGATATATAACTGCTTTACCGTATTCGGGATTATTTTGTTGTTCTATTTGACATGGTCACTAATCAATTACTGACAATATAACTATATTGTGTGTATTCTGATCTGTCACCGAGGTGATGCCTATTTTTTTTAGACCTCATTACGATGTCTTAAGATGGTCTTTGGTTTACATGGATGTGCTATATAAATAATTACGGAAATTTTTAACTTAAACTATTAGCATTGTAACTTTAATTCAAAGTAAATCTATACAGTCATTCATCCTAGGAGATAGCAAAAACAAAAGGTAAGACAGCAACACTTTACGTTAACAAGGTCGAGGGTGAAACGAATATCCCAGGCGAAGCATTTCCGGCACCACAAGTGGCAATCGTCCTTATCATTCTACCAGCTACTAAGTAACTCAATTGACAAAATGTTTTAACTTGTAACTGGATTTCTCATTGATGACAGGCTCTCATTCTTAAAAAAGTAATATTGTTTTCATAATTAAATTTATATTCAGAAATGTGAGCAGTCACGTTGTATCCAAGCTGAATTTGAATGTCATTAAGTCCTTATCTGACAATATTCATAACAATATTTTCATTTATCGAAGTGAACGAAAGTCGTTTCTTGCAGATCAGCAATCTTTTATCTCATAACTCTGATTATTGACGTTCTCGTTTTCTGTTTAAATGTGTGTCATTTTCACGCAAATTCTTCTTCCAGCAACCCATCTGTCATCAACATCGTTGAGTCAGCGTGTTTTGGTTCCGTTTCGTTGTAATGCACGACATTTGAATGCAACAAGAGTATAAAGTATGCTTACGAGACTACAATCACAGTAATCCTAGAAGTAGTGACAGTACTTCAAGAGGTTACTTCAAGAGGTTACTTCAAGAGGCTTCAATAGGTTACTTCAAGAGGTTACTTCAAGAGGTACAAGAGATATCGACTGTTACCCTCCGGGAACTTGGTTTCGTCTTTGCTTTTTCGTATATTGGTAAGGTCCTGGTCGTGTCCTTTTGTTCTGGTGTCTCATCAAGTCCGACTGTTTTAGAGTTCCAAATCTTGCTCGTTCATTATGTTTATTTTGTTACTAAAACTCCTTTTGTAATATGCCATAGTACCATGTAATTTCGTTTAAATTTTATATCATTGATATACAACTATGCTTTTGTTTTTTATATGATATACATTGTTTTAGTATTTACTAAATTCCTTGAAATAAACTTGCATATTTCATATTCGTACTTAACGAAAATATCTTCTATTCATATAATTTGCTAATATAAGTTAAATAAACATTTTATTTCCCTCTTCTTAAAGTGACGTGTCATTATTTGATGAAGCAAGGCCATGTATAAATTACGTCTGTGTCTTTGTGTGAGAATCACTAACACATAAGACATACATTATATCTCCTGATAAGGTAGCTGCTATTTATTTACTGATATTATTGTCTGGGATAAATGTCTGACGTATTAAACATCGCAATACAATGGTTTAATTTTAAACAATAGCGTACCATTGTTTTGTAAACTTTCAAAAGCGGTTCAAGTGAACCTGAGTGTACATTTCATGTAGATCGGAACCTGCATGGTTTTTCCTCGGATACGTCAGTTTTCCTCCGTCACCAAAACATAACTCGTCCTTATTCGTATAAGTTTTATTTTCTTATAACATCAAGCTTTCGTCACAATACCAAGTACTGTAACAATTAATATACCGTAATAGCAAGCTTTTTTTTTCATAATAACACAATTCTCCTGATAATATCAAGCTCTCCTGGTGAAATCAGTAGAGCTCGCAAACAGCATTTCTCCTCGGATATCTGTCTTAGTTTCTTAAGTATCAAATATCATTTTAAAACATATCTTATACATGTATGTTTAATAAAAATATCGGTCACGAAAGGAATTTAAATATGTTAAAACAACATTCTCTATATAGCGTTTTATATGATGTGTTTTGCATCAGACATACCTTAGTATGAACTCTCCGTACACATGATCTAAATGCACTCATTTCAGTGGGAACAGAATATGGCATAGTATTCATTATTTTTACATCCTATGTGTATTTTATGAATATAAAGACGAAACTGTACTCGATTGAATGGGAACACTTAACGTAGCATACCTACTAGAATTTGAAAATAAAACATCGTCAATTGCATTCTTTTTCGCTTGAATTTTTTAATGCACGTGCTTTGCATGCCAATTGTGCGCATTGTCGATAGACAGCCGTTTCCTCCCCCGACTTTAGAAATATAATGAGCCACGTGCCATTCAGTTATTCGTTTGCACGTGCGGATTTGGGGTTAAAGCAACATACCTTGAAATCGTTTCAGATACCCTAGACAAACACGTTATCGGAAGAACAACACGGCAGATATAAGCTTTGTCTGCTAGGGGTTTCGTTAACCATGAGAGATTTGGCTCACGGGGTAACTTAAATACAACGCGGTTCCGGTCTCCGTCGGACCCGGATGCTTCATTGTAGGGTATACTAAAACAGTCAGCCAAATTGTGTAACTATCGTTGCTATAGCTAGTCCCAAGCTCGTTGAGACAGAAAGAGAGCGTTCTAAAAATTATTATTACCAATCGTGTCGTAACAATGTACGGTTTGAGATCCAAAAACATCAACAACAGCCATAAATATTCGTTCAAATCCAATAACAAATTAAGAGTATGTGATCTTCCATAAGCATGACAAATTGAAAGGTTTCATAACTGGAACACGGAAGCAGGAAACATTCAAAGGTTCCATTATACCGCTAACTGGCAAACCAGATTCATAATAATGAAATCGCAGAAAGAGAAAAAGATACCCTAAATATAGAGATGGAGGCAGCGGTCTTAGTAGAGGGCACAACATAGATCGTCTGTTAGACAGGAGTTGATTTAGGAGCTGTGATGTAGAAGAAAAATCTCAAAGTCATTATGTAAAAGGTGAACAAATAAGAAATATTCTACAAATTATGTCAATGTTTTAATAAAAGAAATTAAAATAAAATGTAAGGAATTACAGTAGCAACGGCATGCGAGTACTGCATAAAACATACCGAGGAAAGAATGGTTACTGAGCTACTACGCCACACCCCATCCGTAACAAAAAATCTTTTCATGTTTGTTAATATTTTATATATATATATATATAGTTTGTGATTGATATCTGTAATGCATTCCATTTCGTGCAGTCAATAGTCCGCTATTGTGCTAAGTAGCTGACCGTAATAGATTGTGTCATTATGAATTTATACAGAATAACATTGAATGGTACTAGTGCTTGTTAACGTTAAGCATGATATTCAAATGCAGAGTTAGCTAATAAAAAAAGTATTAACATATAGATAAACAGGTCACAAAATGTAAAACAAATAATGTTGTGTGATGATATTCTTTTATAGTTCGAGTTCAACTTCCTTGTCTTCGAGAATATGCATTCAAAATTTATTTTTTTGTTTGTTTGGTTTTTTTTAAAATATGACTATTTTTAAAGTATGGCTGTATATAAGTGTTTGCAAAATATTTGAATTTTCGATGGAATGGCATCACTAATATCACTACTAAGTGTGTCTTGGGTTCATGCTACTAAGTGTATTCATGTAATTTTCGAGATTATTATTTGCGCGTAAGTTCGGAAGGAGAGTCGATGAAAGGTGTGAGGATATATATGTATATATATATATGTATCTAATAATATAATAAGAATCAAAGATTCCTTCACAAGAATTTGTTTGTTTATTATCTACTATATGTGTTTGTTCATTTGTTCATCTCATATCAATTAATAATTTGATTAAATCAAACGACGAATTATTTTTATCTTTTTGCATCTTTGTTTCTATTTGTTTTCATCACAAGTCACTAATCGTGGTCTTGCTTTTATTATCGTCACATAATTACGGCGTTTGAAACATTGAGGAAAGAAAGATTAATGGCTGTAATTAAAAAAATTGTAAATTAAAAATTTGACGGTATTTTACACTGTAGTTACTACTGTGAAATTAGATATTTTCATGGGGTCCTCAATTCGTGGTTTCCCGAATTACTACCGTGTTGTGGTTACATATATTCTTTAATTACGAGTACCACCTCACACGTGGATTGATATCTGTCAAACTAGTAATCACTCTCTGAACATATGAA